GCAAGACTCTGGCTCAAAATAAACTTTTTAGGGCTGGGGTGCAGCCAGGGTGCAGGTGAGACCCTGGGTTCCATCCCCAGCACTGAAAGGAAGGGAGAGAGTAAGGGAGGAAGGAAGGAAGCAAGCAGGCAGGCAGGCAGCAGCTGCACATGTGTCCTCCCAGAGACGCACAAGACGTGAGGGCCCTGCCCCGTCCCCGGGGCACCCACAGCACGATGCTGCCCAGAGCAATCACTGTGAACGCCCGGGCAGAGCCCGGGTGTGGCGCTGAGGCCCGCTCCCTGGGTGTCTGGCTCTTGGCGGGGCCCAGCAGCTGCTGGCACCGCTGGGGATGGAGTACGACGGGAATCCAGCTGGCGGGCGGAGATGACGCACCTGAGCACAGGGCGGCCCGTGGCAGGCAAGGACCCGCCGCTGGAGCCGTGCACTTGGGTCAGGACAGAGAGCACAGCCTGAAGAAGACCCCAGGAGGGCCTGCACCCCACACTCGGCCCCGGGCTCTGCCCTGCTGTCCCCCACCCCTGCAGGTCTAGATCCTCCAACTGCACCTGTGACCATGAAGCCACCAGCCTTTTGGTGGCCTGGGCCAGGCTCAGTACTGGACGTGGGGAGAGAGGGTTGGGAGGTCCCAGGGAGCCCAAACCTCACCCCCTCTTCTGCCAGCAGGGAGGCACCAGTCTTGCAGCCCTGTGGCAGGAGGAGTTCCGTGCTGAGGCACCCAGGGACCCATGCTTGCAGGAAACTTCACAACCCACACAGCCAGTGTCTGCAGCCTGCCCGGCTTGGCCCCCTCCAGGCCCGAGGTGCAGCCCCAGCCCACAGAGCCTCAGCGCCCCCGGAACCTCACCCTCCAACACATCTGGCTCTCCTGTGGCAGATGTGTACAACCTAACTGTAGGGCTAGGGCCCTGGATCTGGGTGAGCTGGACTGACGGACGGACACTCAGTGAAGCTTGCAGCCTGAGGTGCTGGCCTCAGACCCTGTGAGCCTGAGAGGACCCCCCCTCCCCCTCCCCCTCCTCCTCAGCCTGAGGCGCAGCCCTGGGGCTCCTTTCTGCTCTGTCTCAGGATGGTCTCACTAAGTTGCCCAGGTTGGACTCAAACTGTGGTCTTCCTGCCTCAGCCTCCGAAGAAGTTAGGATTACAGGTGTGCATCACCACACCTGGCTGAGCTGCACCTTAATGAATCTCAAAGCACTTAAAAACCCAGCTATGGAGGCAGACAGGAGCTGGCACTCCCTGGTTCCAGGTTCTCCCACCCTGGCTGAGTGGTGCTATGGGGCGCCTCAGCTCCCCCCACCCGGGGGAGGACAGGCAGTCTGCCCACGTCGGGACAGGGTGAGGAGGAGACCACGGCCCCGATGTCTAGTTGAGCCTGGCCCACCCTCCCCTCACCCTGCAGACCAGGGGAACACCAACAGTGTGGCACGGCAGGGTGACCTGAAGGACAAAGGTCAAGGTGACGGTGGCTCTGTGGGCGGGTGACCTGCTGGTTGGGACTGGCCGGGAGATGGGGGTCAGGACCAGGCTGGTGGGCACAACCCTGGGTGGGGTGCCCGGCCCGGGCACGTCCGCGTGCCCCGCAGCTTGCCCTCGTCACCGCGCCGGGCCTCCTCTCCTGGGAACAGAGCGTGGGGCCATCCTTCTCCTTTCATTTCTGCTTTCAGGATGAAAGCAGCCGGGTGCCGCAGGGCCAGACCCTGACCCCGCAGGCCTGCCAGCCGCCAGCCTCCAGGGCTGCACCACTACAGCCGCCAGGGCGCCCGGGGGCCCCAGACATACCGTGGGCCCCGCGTACAGGAAGCCCCACTGCCCCTGCCCGCCCATCAGACCCAGCTGGTAGGCCCTGCTGGGCCACAGGGCACGTCAGCTGACCAGGCCAGCTTTCCACAGCGCGCCCTTCCTGTTTTCTGGTCAGAACTGCACGGTGAGGCTACAACCCCGGGGGTGGGGGCGCCCAGACACCCTGAGCTCAACACACCCACTTCTCCTTTCGGGGGGCCGAGCCAAAATCCTGTATGCCGCACTGCACGGCCCAGGATGCACACTAGGGGCAGCATGCAGCGCCTGGCCAGGCCGGGGAGCCCACTCCCAAGGCCTTGTAACCCCAAAGGGCTATGTCTAAATGCTGGCCTCTGGACACAGGGGTAGACGTAATTAAGGCAAGGACCTAACAGTCAGGGTGGCACACACCTGTCACCCCAGCACACTGAGGGCAGGAAGATAGCTACAAGTTTGAGGCCAGCCTGGGCGACAGAGCCAGACCCTGTCTCCAAGAACAGAACAAAAAAAGACAGAGAAAGAGCAGGATCTAAAAATGAGGTCTCCGAAGAGTCAGGGTGAGCTCTGAGTGGACAGAACTTATGGACGACATCCAGACTGTCCTCGACCCCGACCCGAAGTGACAGGGGAGAGGGCCATGCAGGTGCAGGTGCAGACGCGGACAGGTGACGCATCCCCAAGCCAAGGGACACCAAGATCCCTCCGGAGCCCTGCTAGCCAGGTGAGGCTTGGCACCCCGCCGCCCGCCCAGCTTCCAGAGGCAGCAGCCCTGCCCACACCTGCCCTGGGGCCCAGCCATGAGAACGAACGCCCCTCAAGTAAGCTCCCCGGTGGTGGCAGCCAGGGGACCCTCATGCCAGTGTGTCGAGTGACAGAGCTGCCGTGAGGCCCAGAGACAGGACGCACAGACTGTGCTGCCCAGAGCCCCGCCCTGGGGCCTGAGGACCCAGCACCGAAGGGGCCCTGCCCTAGGGCGGCACGGGCAGCCCGGTACACTGCAGGCCCCAGGCTGGCGTTGCAGTGCCCTGTGCCTGACACTCACAGCCACTGGGTCTCCCGGGGTGACCCCTGCAGGGAGTTGGTCCCCAGGGGGTTGTCAGCAATGTCTGGGACACCTGGGGTTGTCACACCTGGGTGAAGGGGCAGGGATCCTGGCTTGTGGTCGCTGCCCCATACACCCTTCAACGTATGGGACGGCACCCGCCACAGGGAAGGGTCTGCCCGCCATGAGCAGAGCCCGCAGTGAGCAGCTCAGCTCCAACCCAAACTCCCTGACCCTTTCCCAACAGTCATGCAGGTGGGCAGGGCGGCGCACGCCTGTCATCGCGGGACTCAGGAGGCTGAGGCAGGAGGATCTCTGTGCATTCAAGACCAGCCTGGACTACTAGTGAGACCATGCTTCAAGCAACCAAAACCCAAAGCTCCCCAGACAGGCGCTGGTTCATGCTCGGATTGGAATAGGAGTGTACACCACCCTTGTGCCCTGGTGACGCCTGAGAAGCCTGGCCCTGCCAGCTCAGGTGGGCGCCTGCGGTGACTCACGGAACCGACCAGGGCTAGGAGGTGCCAGGGCCCCAGGAACTCCCCAGGCCAGGGCTTGGAATAAATTCTGGGGCCCAGGACACACATGCGGCCAGATGCTCTGCCACCCCCACGGGAGCCCTGCCGGAGCTCCGTGCACACCCTCAGCCCAGAGCCTGGGCGCCGGCCCCGTCTGGAAACAGAACCACGGGGTCTGGGCTGTTACCTCACAGAGTGAAAGCTCGCTTGGCTCCCGGTGCTAGCTAGGACCTGGCCCTGGCCTCAGAGTCTTCAGACGCCAGGGACACGGCCTCGCAGACCTAGACCCGCCTCTCATCCCTGGCTCCAGGCCACCACCCCCACCACAATGCAGCCCCGCCACTGCACAATCTCCCCAACGACAGCCGAGCCCCGCCCAGCCTCTCTGCCAGCCCCTGCGGCCCACGCTGGCTGCGCTGCCCGAGAGCTGCTCCCTCCGACACGGGCACCCGCCCTCCCAGCTCCAGCACCCCAACACCCCCAGGCCACCAGGAGGGGGCCAGGCCTCTGCAGCACGGCACCCTGCAGTCTGGGTGTGTGCGGAAGGACGTGGACACACGGTGAACCGGACCTGTGGGACCCCACAGCAGAGCCCGCGGCGGGGAGCCAGTCTGCAGACCCCAGGCGAGGGGAGGGGCGCGCAGCAAGGGTCCTCGCTGTGCTTCCCGGGTAACCTCTCGTCCCCACCGCCAGTGCTGGGGGCTCCCGCCGGCCCTGAAGCCCATGCCCGGCCGGCCTCCTGCAGTGTTCTCTGAACCTCTCACCCTGGCTGGCTGAGCCCACAGACCAGCGCTGTGACGGAACATCACACAGAAGCAGAGCAAGAGCTCAAGGCTCGGGAAGACACAGAGGGGCCGCAAACGCCCGCTGCTGCATGAGAACCGGCTTCCTGACAGTGCTGGGAAAGGCACCTGCGGCCTCCTGCAAGCCGGGGAGGGGTCTGCCTGCCGGCTGGAGCAGAGGACACCACGCACCCAGCTCCATGCCGTCCCAACGGGCCCAGTGACAGCCCCGTGAGAGCGGGCAGCGGGGCTGCGGAGCCAGGGGCGCCCGGGGCCTTTTCAGAGGGAGCTCTGTGATGCTCCGACGGGACCCGGAGGCCACACCAGCATCGGCCCCTCAGCCGGGCACAGCAGCCCAGCACACTTGGCACCTCAGGCAACAGTGCCAGCATTCGCACAGATTAGCTGCTGCGGATCACAGCGTCACAGCACGAACAGTGGGACAGCCGGGGTGCTATCTCTTGCTCACAGTTGCTTTCTTTTTGAGACAGGATCTCACTACGCAGTCTACGCCGACTCTGAACTCACTGCACAGCCCAGGCTGGCCTCAAACTCACAGTGATCCTCCAGCCTCAGCCTCCCAGGCACTGGGATGACAGATGTGCACCTCACACTGGGCTCAGTATTCCTCCTCCTGCTTGGTGGTGGTGCTGAGGATGGCACCCAGTGCTTCGCACACACCAGCGAGCCACACCTACCACTGAGCCACACCTCTGGCTCCAAGACCCACGTTTGAGCATGAGGGAGGAAAAGAGCCAAATTCAAGCGCAGCAGCCTGGGTAACAGAGCAAAAGCCTGCCTCGGAGTGAAAACTCCTCCAGAGGCGCTGAGAATGCCACGATGAACAAACGCGCCAACGCCCCACCCGCCACTCACCTCGAGCACAGGCCCGGCGCCCAGGATGGTCCTCTCAACGCCGCTGGCGTAGCCCTTCTGGCTTAGCGCGGTGAGGCAATGGATGAGGAAGTTGGTGCTCTGCGTCTTGCCCGAGCCGCTCTCGCCCGAGATGACGATGCACTGGTTCACGCGCTTGCGCAGCATGGCGTAGTAGGCCACGTCGGCCAGCGCGAACACGTGCGGCTCCAGCTTGCCCAGCCGCTGGTTCTCGTACAGCTTCACGTACTTGGGGTTGTAGATAGGCAGGAACTTGAAGGGGTTGACGGCCACCAGGATGCTGCCGGCGTAGGTGTAGATCTTCTGCTGCAGGAAGCGGCACTTGAGGCTCCTCAGCAGGTTCTCCTCCGTCAGCTCAGGCAGGTTGCACAGGTCATCCACGTCAGCCTGTGGCGGTGGCAGGAGGCCACGCTGCACCAGGCGCCGGGCCGCCGAGGCGTGGGCCGCCAGGGGCAAGTGCACGTGCCGGATGGCGCCATCGGCGCCACGCTCCTGCAGCAGGAAGTAGTAGCCGTCCTCACGCGGGTGCTCAGCCTGCGCCCGCCTCGGCCACAGCAGCACTCGGTGCACGGGCGCGTCGCTGGCGTCCAGCACCCACTCCTCGCCGCCCGCCTCCTTCACCTCCGCCAGCGCGTAGCGCTTGCTGCCGTCCAGCTGCAGGCGGGCCACGGCCTCGCGGATGACCTCGGCCGTGGTGCTGTCCTTGGTGGCCATCACGCAGCACGAGGCCGGGCTTGGGGTCCAGGACAGCTGCGGGTAGATGTGCAGGCCGTAGGCGCCCTGCTCCTGACGGCCCGCGCCGCCCGCCTCCGCGCGCGCACTCATCCTGCCGCCCGCGGGGCCTCCGCATGCCGCCCGGGCCTGGCACGCCGGCTCCTGCAGCTGCAAGGGAGAAGAATCAGGCAGGCGCCCGGCGAGGGCCCACGCACACACAGACTTGCCGCAGGGACCAGCACCCGCCAGGAGCGAGCAGCCCCCGGACGAGGCCCAACGCCCTGCCATCTTTTCCCTCTCTCTGCAGCACTAGGCACTAAACCCTGACCCTGGCACTGACTTCCAGCCCCAGCCCTTCAGTACCCTTTATTCTAAACGGCTAAGATGCTCTGGCAGGGCTTAAATCTGGGCTCCTCCTGCCTCAGCCTACCGGAGTGCTGGGACGAGAGACGCGTACCTCCACACCCACGGCTTCCTTCAAAGTTTTTGTTCTGACTCAGGCTCAGTTACCCCAACTGGCCTCAAATTTGCAGTCTTCCTGCCTCAGGCTCCTGAGTAACTGGAATCAGCCCTGCCCCCATGCCCAGACCTTCCGTCCCCAGCAGTGCCACCGACCCTTCCCTGTGGCATCACGGGACACCCCCAGACCAAACTCTCCTCTGAGCTCAAGGCCAAGACCGCCCACACAGCTCCCTGTGCAGACTCTCCCTACTTGCTACGGCCTGCAGCACGCCAGGGGCAGGCCAGCTCCCTGCCACTGCTGGTGGACAGACGGGCACGGCGGGACCAGCACAGATGACACAGGTGGCCATGCAGGGACGCGCATGTCGAGCCTCTGACCACACTCACCCTGGAGGGCCATGGGCTCTGGCCTGCGCTGTGTCCCCAGGCCCCAGGTGGTGCAGCAGAGGCTGAGGCACCCAGCGGCCTTCTGAGGATTAGGGTTGTTCTAGGCCCGGCCCCTCAGCCCTGCAGCTTCGTTACCTACTCGGGCGCCCCATGCTGCCCTCACAAGGCCAGGCACACACGGCTCGGCAGCTCTGGACTTTCAGCCCCAAAGCCGCAGGCATCACGACGCTCGGCTCTCCACGGGATGCAGCGGGCACGTTATGGTCGCGGGAGATGGGCCAGGTCGGGCTCACTCCACACAACTACCTTCAAGCTTTTCTGTCAACCTCAAATTAGCCCCATAGGAAATGCCTCTCCCCCTCCTCTGCTCTCCAGCGGGGGAGGAGCCCAGTGCCTGGTTCCCGCTCAGAAAACGCCCCCCCCCCAGCCCTCCAAGGGCTGAGTTCTAACACATTTGTGCCAGGCGTGGTGGCGCACATCTGTCATCTCAGCACTCAGAAGGCTGAGGCAGGAGGACTGCTGTGAGTTCGAGACCATCCTGGATTATACACCAAGACCCTGTCTCAAAAGAACACATTTGCTTCTGAAGGCTGCAGGAGAAAGCAAATGTGAACGGTGCTGCTGACGGCCCACCGAGGTCTTGGAACATGAAGCCAAGATGCACAGGTCACAGGCGAGGAGGCTGGGAAGTGAAGATGAGCACGGCTTGGCTTGGGCCAGGCAGGAGAGGCCAGCAAGTCACCACAGGCGAACATGCGTCCAGTGCAACCCCAAGGGACACCCTACAGGGCCAGGATGGTAACATCTACGATGGGTTCTGATGGATAGAGAGGAGTTTGTTCCTGAGGTGGCCAAACAGAGGGCGGGGCATGACAAGCCCACTGCTGGTTCTACTTTTTTTGTTTTGCTTTTGGTACCAGGAATCAAACTCATGACCTCAAGCTTGCCAGGCAGGCGCTTATGCCGCTGAGCTACATCCCTGGCCCTCCACTGTTGGTTCTAACAAGGAAGCTCTCCTGGGTGCACCCGCGGGTGTCCTCAGCAACAGCAGGGCAGAGCGCGCAGTCACAGCAGAGATGGAAGGGCCTGGCAGCCCGGAATGTTCACCACGCGGCCCTGTGCAGCAAGGGCTTGCTGACCTCTGGCCCAGCAGATGCGTGACTCAGCGTCAGGAGCCCAAGGGGCGGGGGCTGCCAGAGGCCTGGGTGACGTGGAGCGTGAGGCCAGTGGGCGAGGGGCCCGGCCGGAAGACAGCAGACCCAGGTGCAGGGATGGCACAGCGGCCAGAGGCTTCCCTCTCTCCACGTCCCCAAAGGCCCAAGGGGCCTGCGTCTCCTTCTAGTGCCAGGACGTGCTGTGCAGCAGACACAGCCTGGCGTGCAGGGCAGCCACCATGGCGTCAGGGCGGCCATGCCAGGCCTGGGTCCAGCCTGTGCCACAGGGGAGCGAAGAACAGGCTCCCGGCACACCCCTGAGCCTGTATCAGAGGCCACCTGGGGCAGCGCTGCCTGACAGAAGGTGTCACAGCTGCCGCTGCCGCTGCGGGAGGCGGGACAAGGACATCAGACGTGGCCCCAACTCTTTGCTGACATGCAGTGCACAAGATGCTCCCACAGCCCCAACTCTGATGGCCTAGCACTTTTGTTTTTTTGCTTGTTTTAAAAATAACATTTCTATTTTCAGATAGAGTTTTGCTAAGTTGCCATACAGTACTGCCCAGGCTGGGCTCAAACTTGCCACCTTCCACCTCGGCCTACACCACCGCAACCAGCTTTCCAAGCCCTTTCCACCACAGGTCAGCCGCACGGCACCTTCCCAGGCCCTTCTGAGCACTGCCCAGGCATCAGCCCCCACGGGAGTTTCGGACAAACACAGAAGTATCGTTGGGTCTGGGTTCAAGCAGCTACTTGGTCCTTTGGAAAACCGCACAGTGAGGAGGCAGCCTGCGCATGCTCACAAAACACTCCGGAGAACGCACGATGCCAGGCAGGGGCCTGAACACCCAGCTTCCCGGCGGCAAGGCCTCAGAGTCCTGGCTGCGGCGGCCGTGACTCGGGCGCCCAGCCTGACGTCTGCGGAACAGGAGCCCGGGCAAAGGTCAGCACAGACCCCGGAGCCCCACGGGAGGACCGCAAGTCCCGCTCCTGGACGCTCACAGCAGCACCCCAACACCCCAAGGGGAAAGGAAGCCAGCGCCCGTCCACGGTGAGCGGCCAAACAGCACGTGGAATACTTAGCCACGAAAAAAAACATTGCCACTCGCCGAGGTGTCGCTGAACTGAAAACATGACGCAGGTGACAGTGGCCACGCACAGAGCAGCAGTGTGGCGCCACCGCTGTGACATGTCCGGGCCAGCAGGCAACAGGAGCGCACCCACGCCCCGCTCCAGCTCCTGGGTTTGTTCTTCACATTCAGCCTCCATCCGCGTGGGCCACACGGGGATGGCGGTTCCCAGGGAGGATGCAGCCCCAGCCTCTGCGGGCCCTGGAGTCCCTCAGCATCTCGCCCCCACCCCGTCCCTGCTGTGGGGAGGGCAGGCTCGGGGTGATGACTCAGCTCCAGGTGCCTGCAGCCGCCCCTGGGACCTGGGAGGGTGGGCCTGCGCCCCCACTCAGGACGCAGCGTGGCCTCGCTGGCTTCCAGAACTTTCCTCACAGCGCCGCTGTGGCCTGGCCTGGAAGTCAGCTGCACGTAGTCTGAGATGTGTCCCAAGTACAGGTGAAACCTGTGCCGTGCAGCCCCCCGCAGGAAGCGGGTCTGGGGCTTTGGAACGAGCACCTGGGGTCCTTGTGGGGTTGCCATGGCCACACGTCTGTGGCAGGAGCCCCGACAAACTGTCCTTTCTTGACCCAAAGCAATCATGTCACTCCCCTGCGCCAGAGCTAAGGCGCCTGTCTGCCCCTCAGCCACCTCTCGAGGCCCAGAGGAACTAAAGCACATCCTCAAACGCCAGGGTGACTCGGCCAAGGACTCACACAGAAACCATCTCCTTGTCACCACGTGGAAATCCAGCTAAGACCCAGACACAGCCCCGTGGTAAAGCACACACAGTGCCCCTGACAGGTGAGGATACGTAGGACGGCAGAGCCACCCTAACAGAGTACTACGCAACTGTACAAAGGGAAAACACTCCGAGCCACGTGACCAAACAGAAGGACAGGGAACAGGGAAGCAGCGCACTCACAGGGCAAGTCGTGGAGAGACCGCAGGGGGTCTGGCCGGGGTGCAGGAGGGCTGGCTGTGACTGCGCACGGGCACTGGGCTGTCCTTGGGGGGCGGGCTGTGGAACCAGAGTCCTAGCTTGCCCGGTCACTGTTCCTGGCGATAGTTTATGTCACACGCGTGTAACCGCAGCGATCACCAACGTTGCTTTCAAACCAGAAACGTGGGCCGGGGATAGAACTCAGTGGCACAGTGCCTGCCCGGCACACCCAAGGCCGAGTTCGATTCCCGGCCCCAAAATCAATCAATCAATCAATCAATCAATCCAGAAACATGGCGCTTCCAGGCTGTGTAGCCGCAGCCCAGCACACTCTCCCCGTCTCCATCCAGGGCGGCTTCTCACACCGTGGAGGCGCGAGGAAGAGGCCGGGCAGAGCGAGTCCCGAGGCCCAGCTGGCTGGATGAGCTCGCTGTGGCGCAGGCTCAGGGAAGACCAGCATCCTGCTGCTTCTGGCCCTGGGACGGTGGCTGCTCCAGCACCCTCCCGTGGGCCCGAGCCTGCAGACGAGGCACAGTCCTGGTGCTGGCTCTGTCCGCTTGACCCTGAAGGGAAGGTGTGCACCGCTGGGCGAGGGGAGATGGGCCCAGCTCTCAGAAGGATGCCAGCGTGGGTGACTAGAGGGCAGAGTGGACGGGATGCCACAGGCCCCGGTGCTGGGACACAGTGGGGATCTGCAGCTGCCACTGGGACAGCCTGGGCGATGGGGCTGTGCCCCAAAGCTGCACCTGCAGCCAGGCGTGGCTGCCCATGCACTGAGGAGGCTGAGGCAAGAGGATCCCTGCAAGTCTGAGGCCAGCCTGGATGACGCAGCGAAAAACCGTCTGAAACAACAAAAACCTGGATCCCTAAAGGTGAACTCACCCTGTAGGGGGCCCTACTGGTGCCCAGGGCTCACGACCACCCCATAACCTCAGCATGCAACCTTGCTTGGAAAGAGGGTGTGCGGCGCCGGAGGACAACAGGAAGGACAGCAGCAGAGAGGTGACCGGGAGCCCACGTGCAAAGAGGCAGGAAGGCCCCAGCCTGGGACGTGGGGTGCACGGCTGGTCCACACCTCCCGTCTGCGACCTTCTAACGG